CCTGTCTGTCAGCACCTATGCAATATTTTTTGGAAATCAACTTATCAGCTTCTTTAAAAGCAGGCCAGGTAAGTAAACACTATTATACTAAGACTATATACTCTTGTGGCGGTCATATCATCTACCTTCGACTAATTGGCCAGCTGTCCTTTTCTGATGCGATTACAACATGAGAGCATAAACCTCTAGGGGTGGATTCGCAGGAATCTCGATTGGGGGACATTCACACCTGATACATTTGCCATTCATTCCAGCATATGATCATATGTATCATATGAATGTCATATGGGATTACAACATATGATACACATGCCATTTCTGGCGTATAGATACGTTGATCAAAACAAGAGTCAATCTTTCTTGAGGCACTTGATGGCAATGGTAAGGATCTTTCGAATGTGTTTTCAGTGCAGTGAACTCCAAGGTGTCTGTCGTTCAGATCGTTCAGAAAAAAGGAACTCCATGTGGCAGTGGGTCCAAACTGGAGGAACATCTGGTGGACACCATTTCCATTTGCGAAGCTCTCTTGGGTTCTGGGGCTTCCGGGGCGCCTAAAAGCTGGTTTTCCTCGAGCCCTCTGGTGGACACCTGAAAATGAACTGATTCTTCCATGCTTTGGTTGAGAAGCTTTTGACCCACAGCCATGTCTGGTCTTGCAGGGCGACGTATTGGCTGGTCTTGGTCCGACCCCGGCACTGGCTCGGGAGTAGGGAACCTGGCACCGTCACAAGGTTCCCCCAGTGACTGGCTGTTCACTCGTTACAAGGAACGACGAAGGAACCGATCCTCGGTAGGAAGTCGGACCCCGCCCGCCAAGGGCACCGTCGTCGGAACCCGCAGGGCGCTGCAGCCGAGAAAGGCATTGGAACCTGGACTTCTTCCGCGCAGCTGGTGGGTCAGTGTTCACTGAAAGAAGGAAGGGTGACACAAAAGCAAACGAAAGGAATCACAAAAAGTACGTAGGTCAAGTGTGTTCCTATGCTGAACATGGTGAACAAAGGGTTGTTCAACCCTTCTCAGGTTCCGCCACCAACATGAGCAGTTGCATTCTGAATAATAATCACTCAAAGTATCCTAACATGAGCCGCCACAAAAAATCTATGGACCCTCTTTCCTATCTTGACTGTTGATGCACGCAAGGAAAGGAACACCTTCGTGGGATCCAATCATTTACAGACCAATCAAAGGTCAAATACGCATTCCCAAATTAGACCCCGTACAGTGAACAAACAAGTTGGAACCTGGATCTCTTATCCCTATGGATCCATATACCGAACCTGGTCGGTGCGGTGAGCAGGGAGACGTCTTGTGATGTAGGCGCCATTGTCGGTCGGTCGGGTCCAATTGCCTACGCCTTCTTCTCAGAAGCGGTCTGTGGATCCATAGGGTATCTGATCTCTGAATCGCCATGACCTATGGATCCACATACATCTATGGATGCATACCCATCGCGTATACCCTGTGGATCCGGTAGGTGTATGGATCCACCGCCACGACCGCCACGACGAGAAGGACACGCGTCTCGAAGAGTCGAAGCGACACGACGGACGAAGCGAACGTGAAGCGACGGACGAAGGACCGGACACGACACGACCGGATGTCCCGGGGAAACCGGGTATCTCATGCCCAGACACTCCATGGGACTGCCATATATGCCTACATTGACCCCCCAAACCACCCCAACTGATCGGCATATATGGCAGTTCCGTGGAGTGTCTGGGATGGTATATGCTCTGTCCCAGATGGCGGGATCGTGTCTGGGTTTGCTGCCTTGAAAAACCGGAACGAGAGTTCCGTCCCCGTTTTTTTTTTTCCGGGCGACCCACGGACGTGAGCTTCGGCAGCTTCAGCGTGGTGAGCTTCGGGCAGTGTTCGAAGGCCCAGCCACCCAGGCTGGTGGCCAACGGCAAGTCCACCTGGACTATATGCGCCGTGGGTCTGGAGACCGACCGACTTGGAAGGGTCGAGTCGGAGAAAAGGACCAAGGGCTCTTCTATAAAGGATATGTGTCTTTTTTTAAACATGTTTCCAAAGGTGAATTCGTGTAGCATAGGATTTCGTTCATCCTGTACCATGAGAACATATGAAAACCCTAAGCCAAACCATGCCAAACGTCAATTGGTCCAGTCCTTCACCACCGGGAAGCCACTGGCTTACTGAAAACGAAACATGTTGGTAACCACTCCGGGGCCTCTTCCTTAGGATTGTGAACTCTGACTCTTGGATGCTTTTGATATATGTTTTGCAGATGTTTGACTCATCCCAAGACTGGATGGTCGTTCACCGTGGCCGTTAAACATCCTCGTTGTAGCCGACCACCTGTTGATCATCGTTGTAGCTACCCGCACACGTCGGACCCAGTCGTGAAGCCATCGACCAAGACTTGGGCCCGGCCATTGACCAAGAACCGGCCATCGACAGTAGGACAAACAGCCCAAACACATGTTACTAGGACTCGCAGCCCATTGACGCAGGCAGTACACAGGCAGTACCTGGCCATCAACCAAACTGTCTCTATGTGGAAATTCCACAACATGGTAGTGTGTGGGTAGAGGAATCCTCCTCCCCATGCCATGTTGAACCCCCACATAACTTGTCCGCTGCCTGCCATCCATCTGTAAAAAAGCAAGAACTCATTGCATGCCACTTGTAGGGAGAACGAGGGAGTGACCTCCGCACAAGTAGACCTAGGGATCCACCATGATCCACCATGATCTCCTGGTGAGAAGAGACCCACCAAGCTAGTCTATAAAGAGTCTCCTGGTCAGAGGGTGCCAGTGGATCGCCAGGGTAGATACACTCCCTGAAATCATCACCACCTGTTAACCCACCTGTTTGTGGATCCATCCAACCACCCGAAAGCAGCCACTGGGATGTGGCACCCAGCCCAGAGAGGAGACAGAGACAAAGGAACCAATTGGCGGGATCGTCTCCTAACATCTACAGTGGTTTCAGAGTTGGCACTGGCACCCCTACATGGTCCTAAACAGATGGGGGTTCCAGATCAACCACCGACCGACTGGGGGTGATCTCAGTCGCCATGGCGACACGTAACAACCACTGTAACAATCCTCCCCTAGACAGGTGGAGGAACAACCCAAACACGGCGCACCCACACACCCCAGCCGCCTCCTGCAGGGCGCTGCAGTTTCGACACGCCCGGGGCCCCACCCAACGCACATGCGGCGCCCCAAGCGCACGCAGGGCGCGGCAGCCATCGAAGGCTTCGGCACCCAAAGTGATGACGGAAGGCAGTGCGATCCTGAAGAATCCCAGCAACGGAAGGCAGTGCGATCCTTTCAGGAAGAATCCAAGCAGTTTTGGGGAACATCGGAAAGCTGATAGTTTTCACACCCAAAGCCTTTCTAGGGGTTTGCTGGAAAGCCCTTGTTCCGAAACCAACGGACCTGAAACGACCCATGCTACACACTGTGGTCAGACTTGAAGGTGGGATCCACAAGAGGGTCCTCTGCACGTGGAGGTGCTGTGTTTTGCCTCCTTTAGAGGGTGACGTCTACGGGGCTCAATGAGGGAAAGGTTCAAGTACTGAGTGACGTCTACGGAGGCTTCTTCCTGTTGGTTCTGGGCTCCGAAGCTGTTGGTTCTGCGTACCTAGAGTGGCCCTCTCTCTTGCCCCTCCCGATCAGAGATATTCTCCACTCCAAAACCGTTCAAATCCCTAGGGATCCAAGTACCTTCTCCAAAGATGATTGGAGATACTCTTATGTAGGTTTGGAGGGTCCAAGTACCTTCTGAGAAGGTACTTGGATCCCTATAGGGAATGCAAAAGGTGTTCATCGAAGCGTTCTCCGAAACATGTTCGAAAACCCAAAGGTCCATCATGTTCCCAAAGTTGTGCCAGGGGCTGGCGGCTTGACACTCGAATCAAACACCCTCCCTCTTGACCTCGCTCTCCAATGACCGACCCTTTGTCATCCCAACCCTTTGTGGTTGACACCGATCACCGCTTCGGTTCCCAAGGTCCGGACCAAAACCGGCCACTCGGCCCGTTGGCCCGTTTTGGAGACGAAGGACGGCGCGTTCGGTGCTAATCAAACGCTAATCAAGTCAAGCCTCGTCTCCAAGGAGCTACAGCCTGGTGCACGTCGGCCAAACTGACCACGGGTCATGTCACCACAAACGAAGTGAATGGCTAACCATCTAAGCCCTAGGGATCCAGTCGTACCATTCCTCAGGTTAGGTATGACTGGACCCGAACATGGCACCTGCATAAGAGTGTCGAACACATCACCGTACCTGAGGTTCGGTACGACTGGATCCCTAAGGGAAACTGAAGAGAATGCAACCCTGAAAGCACCCAAAACTATCCTAACATAGTATTTTTTTTGTATCCATCGATTTATGATCACTGGAGCCAACAGCATTGAAATTCTGAGCCGTCCTGCGCCATCTACCCACAATTCATCAGTAGAAAGGGATCCTGGCGCAGGATCTACCCACATTTTCAGGTGGTCTTGTGCCAAAATGATCCAAAATGGAATGTTAGGCAAGTGCTTGGTTTGGTTCTCACACACACACATGGCATCCACTGGCCAACTTCCACTGGAATCCCAAAAGTGCACATCGAACATGTCCTGTTTCATTCTAGCAAGAATGACTGGAGAGAATATTACCATCTACCTCACCTGGGGCTTCCATCATCCACTAATTACCATACGGGTAAAATGAGTCATGACTGGACTCTCAGGCGTTCGTTGTCATGAAACCAGAGCTGCTGCTTCCCGTTTGGGTCATCCCGAGCTCCTCAGGCCAACCAACTGGCCCACTCGGCTGGGTGACGCACGGCTGGATGTGGTGCGTGGAGAAAGGTCCACCCCGATGCTGAAGCGTCGAATAGAATCTCCTCTATAGAAGAATTCCTTTCGTCCATTCTAGAGGAGATTGAATCTCCATTCAACACTCCATCTTCACCAATATGTGTTTTTCTTTTTTCATAGACTTAAGGTGCAACCAAAGTTGTCAAGAATTAAGATGTTTAAGGCAGAACAAGACACGTAGGTTTGACAACTTTCAAAATGACCTGACAAAGGCATTCCTTACTAAGCTATCATTCTACTTGGTCACTATAGTCATCTAGTCATCTTTGTAGTCCTTGCCTAGCCCCATGAAAACCCAAACCCCCACACTTCGCGGCGCGCCGAAAAAATCCGCTGGCGCCTTTGAAGGCACCGATCTGTAGTTCTGTGATGGAGGGGGGCAGCGTCACGTGGCACAAGGCATGGCACGAGTGGAAGGCCGCGGGCGGCAAAGACGAGACCTGCAGGGTGCGTGGATTGGTTGGCGGGGCATGGCGGGGCATTGGCGGGGCATGGCGGGGGAGCCTTGGGGGTTCTTCACACGATCCAGGGCTGAACTGGTGTGTCAAGGCGGGGTCTGGGACAGGCATATAGCAGTCGACTACCTCCCTATTGTTCTAAGCAACTTCTCAACAAGAAGGCAAATGATCTCGAAGACCCCAACAGGTGAGTAGAAACTCACTTGACTTTAACCCAAGGAACATGATAGTGCAGGTATTCCATATAGACTTCCATATAGGTATTCCCACTGGCAGGACCTGCTCCCTCCTCGCAACTCAAGGTACTCAAGGAGAAGCTCTAAATTCTTCCTCGTTGGGCAATCATGAAACGCATGAAAAGTGGATGTCCTGCACGGGAAGCCCGGACCGGTGTGTACCTTTCCTCGTGTACAAACAATGGGAAGTGATTGTTCGGTTCGGCCCCGATTTCGGAAGACGGGGCCATCAACTGGGGGGTGCCCACTTCCATGCTGGTTCCCTAAGGTTCCGAACCTCCCACATCCTCAGCTTCGGTGCTATTCGACCCCCCTGGCCCAGCGAACCTGTTCGGCTGGGGCACGTTCGTTCGCCCTATCCAGAGGTTTTTCAGGACCCGAACGTTCGACTATCCCAGTTCGGTACCCCAGGTGACGGGTCCTAGTTCAGGTCACTTAACCTCTCTTGGTATACCAGCACCTCACTGCCAGGTCACCAATTGAAACCTGTTTGGACCTAACCACCCTCCATGTCGGAGACCTGTTGGGTTCGGTGCTGCTAGGGCTTTTCAGGCTTTCAGCTTCGATCCACCTGGCCCACACCGACCGGCGTTCCGGTGGGGCGGTCGTCCACCGACTTCGGGGTCCCATCCCCAAAAAATGAGATGCAACAAAAATCCCAGGTTGGACATGGTTGGACCATGTTCTTCCATGAACTGCCAAGAATCTAGAGGCTCGGCTTTGTGGCATGAAGGAAGCTCCCCCAATGATCCTCGTCTGGCACCGTCACGGTTCGCCGAATTCGCGCACAGTCTCGTCCGGTTTGCGCGCTCTTCGCGGCATCTTTCCCCGGAAAGACCTGCGAAGGCTCTTCCCAAAGCACCGACTTCAAGGAGTTCATTCCACGGAAGACGTCTCTCTCCTCAGCGAACATGTGCGTGCGTGCTCGCTCTTGAGAGCTGGGAGATGCACAGCTGGGCCTGTTGCGATTGGGTTTGTGGACTCAGCAGAGGTATAGGATATAGCAAATAGCAAGTGCTTTGAGTCCTATAGACACACAACTGGCCCGGCCCGTCGTGCGTGCAAGACTGCAAGAACGCCGTTTGGACACGAGGCTTGATGGAAACTGAAGGAACACACCGCAAAAGAGACCAATAATTATAGCACTTACATGGACTTAAGAATAGTTAGCACCTCAGATCCATTTCCAAGTATGCTAGTATGGTCAAGTATGCTGGTTAGGGTGTGATGGTGTGACCCTTTACTTTAAAAGGGGGTCAAACCAATGACTTCTCTGCACCAACTACTTCCGAAAGTGCTCAGATTCACCATGTTTTCTCTCCATCGGACTCATCAAGTCATTGACATACTCGAGAACTTCTCCTAACTCGTCCCAATCCCCAAATAGGTGGCACAAGGGCCTACAAACTTTTCGGTTTCCATACTAGTGGGCGGCATCTCCGAAAAGTGAAGAATCTTAAGCATTGAAACGACCCCAATCGTTCGCGGGATGTCCATCACAAATTCTCGCCAACACCTATACGCTATATAACAGTTCTTTACAAAACATCTTCTTGTCGGAAAACCAACCCCTTCCTTTCACCTCCCCCCCCAAAAAAAAGAACACACCTCTCTCAGCAAAAGACCCCAAACCACTCAATCCAAAAAACACTCGACACACTCAGCCTCCACTCCGCTTTTCAAGTCCCGCTCTCCGTTCGCCCACCACATCAGCCTCAGCGGCCATCCGCATCACCGAGCTGGGCACCCGTAGCGAGACCAGTGAGCAACCGGCGAAGGCGCCGGCGCCGAGGAAAGCGACCTGAGGCGACTGAGGCTCCGGACATGTTCGTTGCGAAAGGATTGGAAGCAGCCACGAAAGGATTCTGAGTCCAAGACCAGGAAATTGATCACATATTGTTCTTGAGGTGACCTGATTGCAGGAATTTTCTGGAACACTTTGGTGGTTATGTGTTTTTTCGTCGAAGTGGACTTCTACTTGGACTTCTATGGCACGAGGAACTTGGAGAATTTCCACAAAAAAATGTTTGAAGGGGTTGCTGTCCAAACATGGTCTACATATCCGGACTGTGTCGCCATGCGGATCGACGGACAGTCAAGTTCTTGACTCATCCTCCTTGAGTAGGTGGGCATGTCAATGGCTATATCAATATCGTTACCAGCACCTTCCAAGGGATCACCAATGGAAGCCCCCGCGCTACTTGTGGATCTCCATTGGACACCCCTTGGAAGGTCCAGGTACAAATATACATATACATATATATATTACAACAATACAATAATATGTCCTACTGATGATAAATACCTGCTATATTAATATATTGCATTCCAATCTTCTGAACCAACAACAAACAACTCAACAAACAGCTCTTACTCTTCTTGCTCACCGGCTCCGGGCCATCTTCACACGGCCGAAGGGCTGATTGGGGCAGTGTCAGGTCTTGCAAAGCACTGCAGCCTTCGAAGGCCCGAGCCAGAATCCGCTTCACTGAGGGCAGCGTCACGCTCCTCTGCAGGGCAAAGGACGGATTCCGTGGCCACAAGTCATGTGAAAAGGGCATCAAAGTGACCAACATAAAGGTGGTGGTAGATGGCGGCAGTAGTATGTAAGAGCGTTGCTGGCAGCGAAGACATTGAAGGGTAAACCAGCTGTTGAAGAGCTTCGTGAAGCCAAGAGATACGCTGTCATGAAGGGACAGGATGGATCGTTAGAGCAAGAAACTCATCCTTGTTAAGGTTGCTGTGATCGATTTCCATCAATTTATCTATGTTAGGGCTTGGGCTAGGGACCGTTCATACCAATCTCCCCAAACTAACCACACTCACATAGAACAAACGCATAGCAAAAAAAAGGTGCAGGTCTAGAATTTGTTGTCCAGCAGAATCAGCTCTATGGTTTCCAAGGTGCGCAGTAGGGCGCAGACCTGGGTGGTGGGAATGTTGCAGCAGTGAAGCTAAGGAGATTGAGGAAGCAAATGCAAATGCAGGTTCCATTGACATGGATGGCAGTGGCAATGATGCCGTGTCAAATGATGAGAAGGACGATAATGAGAGTCGACCTGGTGATGAAGCTAGCCTTGGAGGAATGGGCCAACAAAAGCCTGCGCTGCACAGAGATTGAATTAACACGGGTGCTCTACGCTAAACCTTTGGATCAAAAGGCTTTTGCAGGTCACAATTGCATGCCTACGGTAACATGGCACAAATGAACACACACACACACACACTGGAGGACAAGAACAGTGATCCCTTCGGCGGCTCATTGAGCCGCCAGAAGCTAAATATATATGTATATAGTGGCGTGTGGTTGGTGTCATTTTGGTTGGCGGCTCATTGAGCCGCCTCAGGCATGCAATAGCTGGCAAAACTGTTTGCTTTTAAAAATTGGAAATGATCTTTATCAGCTTGCTTGACACTATACTTTTGGTCGTTCCGGAACTTACAGAACTTATAAGTTAGTTACAAGTAATTTAAGCAACTTACGGTTATATTTCAAAAACTAATAAAACCTAAGTTCCCTAAGAACTACTACAAGTGTCTCAACTTCATTGCATTGCTTTTTGTGGTCTAACGACTGTTTCAGTCACGAAACAACGTTGGTCTCACTCAAGTTGAAGGCCACATCGACAAGCAATTTTTTGTCGACTGGTGAACCACCAGCTGTAGAAATGTTTGAGCACAACCGTTCATCAGCGACGTTCATGATTTCAACTCACAACCCAGCTGGAATCTTTCAAGCGATGGGCATGCAAATAAAATCATGAATCTTGAGTTTTGGGCATGATATCTTCGAGAATACGATGGACCCGCGTCGAGAATATGGTGAAGCCCGTGTGTAGCAAGCACGCCCAGCGACTCCTCAAACCACGAAGCTGGGCGCTATCTCCAAGCAATCCTGCGACAAAGAGAAGCAATCAAACTGCAAGTGCCACAAGTAAAAAGGAACCACCAAGTACGGGTTCATCACTGGAGCCGTGAAGAACAGGTAGCGCTCGCGCGTGGCGAGCGAGGCCGCTATGACGTCGTCGTCCCGCAGGATCTTGTCCGCGTCTCGGGCGTTGATGCCCGAGATTTGCAGCAGCTGGACTTTGGCCGGCCGTTCGCCGCCCCGAGTCTGGCGGTATAAGGCGAACAAATCCTTGCCGTAGCCCTTGTCGTGGTCTCGAAAGATCTTCGAGGGTCGTCCCTTATCCATGAGGAAGTTCAAATCACTCTGGCGAGCCTCCGTGCGGTGTCCACCACTGTAGAGGCCCATGTCCTCGAAGAAGCCAGCGATCTCGTCGTGGCCGTGCAGCAAGCCATGGTAGGTGCGGGCAAAGCGATCGGCGTCACACTTTGCAAACAGTTCTTCCGGAGTTGCGCCCGGGATGAAGGTCCACGTGACAGGCGCCTCGCCACGATCAACCTGCCCGTCCACATGGGCTTGTGCAGATCGGCGCGATTGAGCCAGAGTTCGAATGGCACCGCCGTTCTCCTCGATGATGGTGTTCAATCCCGATTTATTGGTCTTCTTGAAGTGTGCAGCCTGAGGGGGCGCGGGGAGGGCAAATGCGCCGAACGCGGACGCGCGGAAGACCGGGCGGCGTGGAGATGCTTCGGGGATCGAACTGAGGAACGCACACTAGACCATGCGAAGTGGTCATGGCCCGCTGTCGAATCTTCACCATCACTGCGTTCATGGCGTGCTGACTGCTGACCTCTTAACATCAGAAAAGAGAGCCTGCAGACATAAGACCTCTTGCTCCAGGATCTGCTCGTTCTTCCGTTTGTGACACCGGAGGCGGCACACATTGACATGAACATCTACTGTACTTCAAAGACAGCAGTCAAAAAGACACACAGCCAGCAAAAGTACACAACATCAACAACAGAACCAAGCCCTACAAAGAACCAAGAACAGAGATAACATCAAGAGAAACCGTACATCTAAACCACGAAGACAGATCAAACATCCAAAGCCCGGGACACAAACACCAAGAACAAACAATGGACAACAATGCAGTCAATGAACCAACAGATCAGACATATAAACTAACTACACAAAACAAAAACTGAGCAGAGAGAAGCAAACACGAACAAAGCACAACCAGAACAAAAACAAGGCAGAACAAAACCAGCAAAGAAACAACAAAAGCAACATGACACAACACAAAGAAACAGAGACACAAAAAACACAAAGACAAAGACCCACAAGTAAAAGTAAAATACAAGACCGAGCATGTGAAAACAACTCAAAACAACAAACCACCCATGTAAAAACAAAACAGCATGGGAAACAAACACTGAGGACCAAAAGCTGCAGAGAAACAATTAAAGGACCGGATAACCCCACATATGAATCTTTACGAATCTTAAGTTTCTAAAGCACAAAGCAGTTAGAGTCTCAATAGCTTCTACAACACGGCCTTGTCAGGAAGTGATATCAGCTTCCGACAACAGAGGGGTGGGAGAGAAGGTGTAAGAGAGTGATGTGCACGACGGATGTACGAGGTATTGTGCACACAGGTGTGCGCAGCCACAACTAGCCAACAACACCAGCGGTTGTCGCCCGTCCGCAATATGGGGCATAATGTACTAAAGTTGTACTACCAAGTCGCCAGTTCTCAGCTTCCAGCTCCCCAGCTACTCCGCGTACTACAGTTGTACTACAAAGTCGCCAGTTCTCATCTTCCAGCTCCCCAGCTACTCCGCGTACTAAAGTTGTACTACAAAGTCGCCAGTTCTCAGCTTCCAGCTCCACAGATTGCTCCGCATACTAAAGTTGTACTATCAAGTCGCCAGTTCTCAGCTTCCAGCTCCACAGCTACTCCGCGTACTAAAGTTGTACTACAAAGTCGCCAGTTCTCAGCTTCCAGCTCCACAGATTGCTCCGCGTACTAAAGTTGTACTAGACACTCGCCAGTTCTCAGCTTCCAGCTCCACAGCTACTCCGCGTACTAAAGTTGTACTACGAAGTCGCCAGTTCTCAGCTTCCAGCTCCACAGATTGCTCCGCGTACTAAAGTTGTACTACAAAGTCGCCAGTTCTCAGCTTCCAGCTCCCCAGCTACTCCGCGTACTACAGTTGTACTACCAAGTCGCCAGTTCTCATCTTCCAGCTCCCCAGCTACTCCGCGTGCTACAGTTGTACTACAAAGTCGCCAGTGCTCATCTTCCAGCTCCCCAGATACTGAGCGTACTTAAGTTGTACTACCAAGTCGCCAGCTCTCATCTTCCCACTCCCCAGCTACTCCGCGTACTAAAGTTGTACTATCAAGTCGCCAGTTCTCATCTTCCAGCTCCCCAGCTACTCCGCGTACTAAAGTTGTACTACAAAGTCGCCAGTTCTCAGCTTCCAGCTCCACAGATTGCTCCGCATACTAAAGTTGTACTAGAAACTCGCCAGTTCTCAGCTTCCAGCTCCACAGATTGCTCCGCGTACTAAAGTTGTACTAGTAGAAACTCGCCAGTTCTCAGCTTCCAGCTCCACAGCTACTCCGCGTACTAAAGTTGTACTACAAAGTCGCCAGTTCTCAGCTTCCAGCTCCACAGATTGCTCCAAAGTCGCCAGTTCTCAGCTTCCAGCTCCCCAGCTACTCCGCGTACTACAGTTGTACTACAAAGTCGCCAGTTCTCATCTTCCAGCTCCCCAGCTAGTCCGCGTACTAACGTTGTACTACCAAGTCGCCAGTTCTCATCTTCCAGCTCCCCGGCTACTCCGCGTACTAGAGTTGTACTACAAAGTCGCCAGTTCTCAGCTTCCAGCTCCACAGATTGCTCCGCGTACTAAAGTTGTACTAGAAAGTCGCCAGTTCTCAGCTTCCAGCTCCCCACCAGACAACGGAGCGAGATCTATTGCAATTTACAATAAGACAGCGCCGCAGCCGACCAGCGGCGACCACAGCCGACCACCGGCGACAACGCAACCGCCAGACCCTCTAAGAGAGCGAGATCTACTGCAATTCACAATAAGACAGCGCCGCAGCCGACCAGCGGCGACCACAGGCGACCACAGCCGACCACCGGCGACAACGCAACCGCCAGACCCTCCAAGAGAGCGAGATCTACTGCAATTCACAATAAGACAGCGCCGCAGCCGACCAGCGGCGACCACAGCCGACCACCGGCGACAACGCAACCGCCAGACTTTCTAAGGGAGCGAGATCTACTGCAATTCACAATAAGACAGCGTGCGACAAGACCCTCTAAGAGAGCGAGATCTACTGCAATTCACAATAAGACAGCGCAGCCGACCACCGGCGACAACGCAACCGCCAGACCCTCTAAGAGAGCGAGATCTACTGCAATTCACAATAAAACAGCGCCGCAGCCGACCAGCGGCGACCACAGGCGACCACAGCCGACCACCGGCGACAACGCAACCGCCAGACCCTCTAAGAGAGCGCCGTCTCTGTGTGTGTGGTCTCGGTGTGTGTGATCTCTGTGTGTGTGGTCTCGGTGTGTGTTGTCTCTGTGTGTGTGTGGTCTCGGTGTGTGTTGTCTCTGTGTGTGTGTCACCCCCTGGTTCTAAGGGTTTTCCACGTCTTTCCACCGATGCAGGGGGGCAGTGATCCCTTCAGCAGTCACTGCCTAACAAAGACACTGCTGATCGGATGTGATATTCGGAGAGGACGCTCTCTGAACGTACCTGCTGAGTTTTTTCGCAAAAGCTGTCACCCCACTTTTCCACGATTTGATTCATGGTTCTTCATGTTTCCACCCCCAAACCTCGGTTTTGCAGCTGAGTTGCGCCGCTCGTTCACCACCGCTGAGGTTCGAGTCAAGCGAAACAGCTTGTGTTAAAACACCTACAAATTCTTGGACTTTTCGCCATGCTGTTCCACCGCCTTCCTTCCCAACGTGGCAATTGAGTCTAACTGAAAACCAAGTTCGAAGTGTGAATCGCTCAGTCTTCCCACTTGGGTACTGGGTGTGACCCTCCGAAAGGAGGCGCTGAACTCATACCGGAAATCGCCGACCTTCCACTTTTATAACTGCCTTTCCGCTAGCTCAACTTTATCCCTGAATTAACTGATTTTCGAGCCGCCGGGCTATAAGCGACGGATTTCTCACCAACGATTCTGAATTCCATCCGTTTTGTCAAGTCATGAGATCGATTTGTGCATGTTACATCCTTCAATTTTTAATTTTTCACCCGCAGCCGTTTAGCAAACAATCAGCTTTCGCATGCTCCGCACTTCACTCCATCTATACCTACACTTTTCCACCCCACAACGCCACCGCTGCGGCTGAAGCCCTGGTCCACCTATACGCCCAAAAAGGGCATGACCTGCACGCGTGCAGGCGGTTTTTGAGAAGAAAAGATCCGTCTCTCCACTGCTTTGTCTGGGCGCCGATCACGGCTTGTTGTGTGTGTCACCCCCTGGTTCTAAGGGTTTTCCACGTCTTTCCACGGATGCAGGGGGGCAGTGATCCCTTCAGCAGTCACTGCCTAACAAAGACACTGCTGATCGGATGTGATATTCGGAGAGGACGCTCTCTGAACGTACCTGCTGAGTTTTTTCGCAAGCTGTCACCCCACTTTTCCACGATTTGATTCATGGTTCTTCATGTTTCCACCCCCAAACCTCGGTTTTGCAGCTGAGTTGCGCCGCTCGTTCACCACCGCTGAGGTTCGAGTCAAGCGAAACAGCTTTTGTTAAAACACCTACAAATTCTTGGACTTTTCGCCATGCTGTTCCACCGCCTTCCTTCCCAACGTGGCAATTGAGTCTAACTGAAAACCAAGTTCGAAGTGTGGTCTCGGTGTGTGTGATCTCTGTGTGTGTGTGGTCTCTGTGTGTGTTGTCTCGGTGTGTGTTGTCTCGGTGTGTGTGGTCTCGGTGTGTGTGGTCTCGGTGTGTGTGGTCTCGGTGTGTGTGGTCTCGGTGTGTGTTGTCTCGGTGTGTGTGATCTCGGTGTGTGTGGTCTCGGTGTGTGTGGTCTCGGTGTGTGTGATCTCTGTGTGTGTGGTCTCGGTGTGTGTGATCTCTGTGTGTGTGATCTCTGTGTGTGTGGTCTCTGTGTGTGTGGTCTCTGTGTGTGTGGTCTCTGTGTGTGTGGTCTCTGTATGTGTTGTCTCGGTGTGTGTGATCTCTGTGTTGTGATCTCTGTGTGTGTTGTCTCGGTGGCGGGAGGCGGCGGCGGCGGGAGGCGGGATGAGAGATAGAAAAGAAGAACCCCACACTAAGATGTGGGGAAAAAAGAACAACATAACCACTGATTTAATTAAAAAAAAACAGCAGAGAAAAATAAAACAAAAAAACAACAACCCTGATAAGAACCACTGATCAGGAGAAGACAGGCAAAACCTAAAGAAACAAAACAAAAAACACTCATTTACAAGAACCCAGCAAAGAAACCAAACATATCTTAGGAACCTTGGACACTTATAGGAATCATATGACACAGCACCTGCAAACACACGAGAAACACCCTAGAACACCATGGGGTAAAGACACAAGCGATGTAGCGTAGTGCTGACACCAGCGAGCCCAAGCGCCCCTCAACGTCCTTCGATCACCTTTAACGGTTCACGTCCGGGTCCGGTCTTCGTCCTTCGTCTCTTCATCTCTTCGTCTAGTGACCTGAATGGTTCCACCTGGCGCCCAGTAAAAGGGAGACACGAAGTCAGCATTGCCTATGCTTGATGAACGTGTAACACATACGCTAATCAACCGAGTATCCCCTATGAGGGAATGAGTAGGCCGAGTAGGCATTGCCTATGCTTGATGACCACTATTTCGATCACGCCAGCAGCCTCAAAAGAAGCTTCCACTTGATTCCAAAGCTGAAGCATTGTACTCGACAATGAGAAACAACATCCGGAAAAGCTGCAAAGGCGTTTGGGAACATCCAAATCGGGATCGGTCAGTTCATTTGTTGCCTGGAGATGTCCGACTATAAACATCCTAAACATCCCTACCCTAGAGATGCCCAATAATCATTCTCCAACACCCCAACAATTCCCAACCATATCGCCAACGATGTCGGCAACAACATTCGCACCCCAGGAAAAAACGAAAAAGAGAACAGCTCCCATCCTAATGTACACTCTTGAGCTACATACCCCGCCCCAATGTGAATTGGACATCCTCTTCAGGACTGACTGGGGGTTTATTTTATGGTCCTCTTTCGAGTCTCATCCACTCAATCCTCTCCATCCCATGAACCTCCGGTCCTCAACGAACTGCAGGAGGCAAAGGCTTCTCCTCCGAGGATCGCCACGGAGGGCATCGCCACGGTGCTCAACGACCGACAGCCTGGCACAGCCAGCGAGCGGTCGCACCCCCCCCCGCCGAAGAACGTCGTGGCTCGTTTGGCCTGCGTGGGGGGGGCGTTGAGGCGCTTGATGGTTCTTACTTTTTGTTTTGTTAACCTTATTTTTGTGTTGTTTTGCTTGGTGGTTACTAATTGTTTCTTATTCTATTGTTTCATTAAATGAGCATGAGCGATATAGGTGTTGTTCTTTTTGTTGTTTTCTGGAATCCTGTGATGATAGTGATGATTGACGTACATGCGTCACATGGAATCCCACCGAATCGTCCCACCGAATCGAAAACGAAGGTTGAAGGTCTAGATCCTAGTTCGACTATGTTCAACTATCCCAGTTGGGTACCTCAGGTTTCCTGAGACTCCTTTTCCAACAACACCAACCAAAACTCTCACTTTAGATGTTCCTTCCTCCAAAACCCTCCAAAACCCAGTTCCTTCCCACCACCGGTTAAGGCTCCCGACCTCGGAAGGCTCTCGGACCGATGTAGCTCACCGAACTGGGCAGTTCCACCTGCCACCGATATTCCGGCGTTCCGGACGGCGGTGACGGCTTGGGCGGGTGCTTTCGCCACCTCTGAGTCACTCTACTTGGGGTTATCATGTACTGTAGTATTTGCTGCTTTTCTGACACATGATGCAAACTGATCCAAAGCCAGTTCTTCTGCAGTCATCAAGGTGCCGCTCCTCTTTGGCTGGGGCCGTTGTAGATGCAGCAGGGCAGCTGATGCAAATGCTTCGAGCTCCCACTGGATCAGATACCTGGATCTCCCAACCCTAGAAATCTTAAGGCTCTTGGCTGCTCTTTGACGGATGAAAAGGCAAACAAACGCAAACAACCCTCCCTAGGAATCCGACCCTCCTGGCACGTTACATAACACTGGAGACCCAGTCGCACCTTCCGGAAAAATCAGGATCCGACGTCGCACCGAGATTCTGAGGTTCAGTACGACGGCAAGATCCCTATACGGCACAAGTAGCACAAGTGCCAAGACCCCCATGTCTTTTGGCCACCATCGCCCTCGGACGCGGCTGCTTAGCCGACGCCGCTTAGCCGCCGCCCTGCCGTGCCCCCGTTCACCCCCAACACCCCGAGGTCCGATCGCTTACCGGGTGGCCACCACCACCGATTCGGGTGGGACGAAATCCGGAGCTAAGATGAGTGTTGGACCCTATCCTCATAGTAAGTCATAACTGAATCCTCTTTGACAATATCAATGTAACCCATCCATTAGATCCACCAACCATGTCCCTTTTGGAGCATCCAACCGATCGTCATAGAGCACCTTTGCCAAGGCCACGCAGCCGTCAAAGGCCTCACGTGACTTGCGAGGAACGTTCCGCGGTGGGGCCGGCTGAGCCAGGAGTCAGTGTTAACACTCCATGGGACTGGAATTCAATGTAGGCTCTTGATTGATCACCTCCCCAACCTCTTCATCTATGGGGAGATGCCTTTTTCAATTGACCGAACCCCTTTTACCTCTTTCAACCGACATCATCACTCCGGACAATAGCTCAGTCCCAGACAGGTCGTGTCTGACAGTGGGAGAGACATGCTACTGGCAAAACCATGGAATCATTTCAACGTCACCACAAAACTCGATCTCCGATTTGGCCTCCCAAAAAGCAGCCCTCTTAAGATGTATACATATTCCGTGCGACAATACTACTCGTGGCAAAGGCGCCGCCGAGCACAGGCAGTGTCTGCTACCCCTTCCGCGGCCTCTTTCTCGATGCGCGTGGTCCCTGGAGGGATCTGGACCGCCTTCAAGGTCTCCACACGCAGCTCCCCTGGTCGCGCGCAGTCGCGCGCGCGGGCGGGCGGCCAGGTGTCGCCGAGAGGCAAGCTCGAGCTGTTGCTGAGCTTGAGTCATAAGCCGTATGCCGCATGCCCATGTCAGAGGGGCCCGGTTTGAAAGACCAAAAGGCTCTGGAGCCCGGAGTGTTCCTACTAGCGACCTCGAGCTCTTAGTCCTGAACTGGAAACAATCAATCCTGAGTCTGCGCCGGCTGCACTTCTCCCCATCAGCTGCATTGGTGGGTGGAGAACGACGCAAGTCTTCGTCTGTCAAGGCCATGGGGTTCGGTTCACCCCAAGGCCTTGACAAACGACGCATCCATCCAACAAGCATGGTGTGGTGGAGGGTGCAAAAATGCCTTAAGGAAGACTCTTTTGGAGTATACAAACAGTCAGTTGCTTTCTTCATCTTCTATCTCCAAGTCTCCTACTACGCCTTCGGCCATACAGAAAGAAAGACATTCTTCTCCGGCTGCTTTCGATAGCACCGAGGCATCCCGGCATCGTCCCAAGGACTGTTTGGCCTTCGTTCGTTCGCAGCGTGACCGTCTTTTTTCAGCTCCCGTTTGGCGGGTTTTCACCCGAGCCAATCGAGGTTGGGGGGTGTGGCACAAAATGAAACACCGAATTCGGTACCAGGATCATCCTGGACATGGGTGTCCTGGCTGGATATCTCTATAGTGTATAGGGTAGCCAGGACACCCATGTCCAGGATGGTCCTGGTATATTCATGGCATGGCGATGATGGGGATATCATGTATCTTATTGATGATGTCTTGTGTATTGGCATGAACGCCTCAAAGATCCTCAAACGAAAACAGCACCTGTGGTAAGTAGTTAAACGAGAAGAAAACACAAGTCCGCCTTGACCTTGGACTTTCACTACTTATAACGCGAGACGACTAGCCCACGAGCCCGCAGCACCAAGCCCGGCTCCAGGTCTCTCTCCCCCCGGCTTTGTGCTTGGTGGTGTTTTCCGATGTCGAAGCGACGAAACCATTTCACCGAACACGCCACTTCCGAAGATGTGGCCTCCCCCCCACATCTTGAGGCGGCCGCGCCACATCTTCCATCCTTCACAGCTTCGACATCCGGGTGGCCTGAGCTTTGGAAGCTGGCGCATTCCACCACGTTGACGCTGAAGACCATCTGCACCGACGGCCGTCGCTCCGCTGAGCTCGCGCTCAGCTTCTCCAGGACGGTCTCGTCGTTTCCTGGTGGCGTTGGATGGACTGGACCGATGGGTGACTATACCCAGACACTCCATGGGACTGCCAGTCCTATGCCGCCCCATTGACCCCCCTGGCACCCCAACTGATCGGCAGTCCTATGGCAGTCCCATGGAGTGTCTGGGATAGAGACTTAGAGACTCCCTATGGGCGTTGAACTCATGTGGGTGAAAAATAACATGAACTTGTTTTCGTTGGTTGCAGGGCGCCTGCCACAACGGCAGTGTGAACGAGGTATGCACGGAGAGAAGGAAGCGAGAAATCAAGCTTTTCACACAGCTTTTGCCAGCTCAACGATCATGAAGAGCAAGGATGTGAACGGTGATGACATGTGATGACGACATGTTGCCCTATAGCGAATGGTCCACATGCCACGGAAGATCAACAATTCTGGACAATGCTATTTCCAATGAACATGCATGGATTGTCTTGTCAGCAAAAGACTGTGCACACTCTTTGTTCCGTGGCTTGGAAACCCAAATTGTTTGAGACATATGATATCCCAGGCAGGTACCCTACCATTTCCTTTGGTCACTTTCAAAGTTAAACGGCAATCTTGCTTTCAATCTCTCTCACTCACATACCACTTGCATCTGGCAAACGTATGGCCAAACTGGATGAAGTGAATGAACCCCATCGAATCGACTGTCGACTGTCCACCAAAATCCTTTTGGATTCCATCATTAATAACTATAATATATAGACATATAGATAAATACACACATATACAAAAATAATCTAATACCTTTACAGAACACCTCGTATCATAGTATTCAATTTAAAGAGGGTAGACTTTCACAATACAGACGCCAAAAAGAGGTCTTCTAATATATCCCAGCTATCAATCCACCCTACCAAAAGTGTCCCTCGCAACCAAGCTTCTCAGCAGCTGTGTACCATCAACGATCACCTCGACCTGACGATTGGACGCTCAGAACAAAAATCACAGAGAGAGAGAAGGATTTACTAAGAGCGATGGCCTCCAACAATAGCAATGGCCTTAAGAAAGAGGATGATTTCCCATCACAAATTTCTGTCATCACACCCAGAACCCTTTGTTTAATCCCTGGTCGGTTGACCATGTCTGGTGACGTCTATTCTGTTCATGTTCGGAAAAACCCAGGGTGTCCCGGTGCTAGCCAAATGAAGGTCTTGTTGGAAGGGAACATGTGCCAGGACCCTCCAAGGGGTGCCCTGTCTGGAAGCCAAAAGGTAGTGTGGGAATAGTCCATTGATGTCCATTGGACACCCCGACAGGAGGGTCCTGGTGGAGATGTTTGCCTCACGAGGACGATTGCAGTATACCGTCGTTGCCTCTCATATGCACCACCCGTTTGTTCCGGTTTTTCGTTCATCTACTTTCGGCCTACACAGCTTCACCTCCCATACTCTGAAATCTCGACGGCTGAATCATGGTCAACATGCGGATTTGTATTCCAAGGACATAACAACTAACATTTATCTGCTCAGTCTTGGGAGGATATTGGCCTCAGGAGCTCCCCTTGTCCTCAAATAAGCACTTCAGCAGCTCTTCAGCGGTCGTGGATTTGTATTCCAAGGACATAACAACAACATTTATCTGCTCAGTCTTGGGAGGACATTGGCCTCAGGAGCTCCCCTTGTCCTCAGATCACTTCAACACCAAGAGAGGTCAAGTGACCTTATAGGATCCTACTGGGGGACCCAAAGGATAGCCTATAGGGTTCTTCAACCTCTGTTGGCAGTTTAAGCAAGTGGATCAATTCAACCATTCATGTCATCCTCTTGAGCAACCCATTTGAAGTCCCTCACCCATGTTGAAGATCTAAAACTCAACGTCGAGCCTCGCTGATCGCGCGTGTAAGCTCATCTTCACCTCGCCAAACAAAGGACTGGAACCCAAGCACAAACTGGTGCGAAGCGCAGGACTGGTGCGTGGTTGATGGACCTGAAACATGAGAACTATGTGAGGGGTTAGAAAGGGATAGTGTGAGAACTCTCCACGTCAGTGGATCATGGGCACTTCGAACCTCCAGTACCCCGACATGAAACTGCTGGTATACCTACAACTATCCACCAGCAGTACCAAGCCACACGCCGAACAGCTCTGGTGCGGGTAGTGTATCGTTGAGTTCCGAGCAAGCAACAGGCAACCTGCCCTACCACGTCCAAAGCCCCCAAAACCCTGGTTGACCTACCGACGTCACTTGCGCATCCAGGCTGGCGCTTCCCATGGTCCTTCACCAAAGGTGGGTTCCTGGGAGTATGGGTATATAACCACTGCACATGCAAAGTATCTGTACAGAAAAGAGACCTGGTCCTAGCTACGTGACACCGAATATCCGCGCGGCAAGCAGCAGAACAAGTCGAGAGTATCTACGAATTGGCAAGTAACAATCACGTCACCTGAATCTAGTCGACACATATCTACGAATTGGCAAATTGCATCTAATTGTGCGAACTCGGCTTGTCAATTGGGCGGTTCCACTTGCATGTCCTTCTCTTCCGGACGGGGACGCTTTGCTGATTCATCTTGCGAATTTGGAGCGATCGGAGCTAAGCGAGCTAGAATGGCCTTGAATCCCTCGTTCATGCCCTGGTTTGTCTCTTTAAGACTTTGCTCGATACAGTGGATGCGTGTATCCAAGGTGCTACGAACTGATTGCTCTGAGGATTCAATCTGCTTCTGGACCTCTTGGCGAAAGCTTGTCAACTCCTTGTTCATATCAGCACGAAGTTTCACTTCTCCTGCTTGATTGGCCTTTGTGGCCTTCGCGAGGTCCTGAATCTGAGATTTAATCATAGATAGTTCCTGGCCGAAAGAGTTGGACGAGGCCGACGATGTACGAGAGGTCAAACTGTTCTTGGAAGACCATGTTCTATGCATATCTGGCTGAGAATCGAAGACAGAAGACTGGGTCGATGAACTATGACTGGATAACCATGCCGCCCATGGGTCTTGGGAGACATCTGACTGGTGATCTATCGGTTTTGACGGGCCTGGCAAAGTAGGGGTCAGACGTTTGCCCCCAGCAACTACCGTCGGCTTCACATTATTTGGCGATGTGACTGCGGAAACGAGTACCGAATGCTTTCCCCACAGGTAGTGGCAGGTATCTACCGGGGAACTGGAGGCCAGGAGCCATGTATTGGCCGAGAGACTCCTGACCGGTCGCATCTTGAGTGACTGGTTGTAATCCAGCCTCTGACATCCTCATGCGTGACGCCAGGTGGGAGAGGCGAAACCTTAGCAAAATAATTTGCTGGCAAGTGTGGGATCTTCGGTGCATCCGGTGTCAAGATGGTCAAGGCGTCTTCATATGCTGCACTGGGCGTGTGCACACCATATGCTTGCTTACCGCGAAAAGATAAGACCAACCCCGCCTGTTCTGGAATTTGCTTTGCAAGTTCTAAAGCTTGTGGTCGGGTTTTATCTTTTAACCACACGATGGCATATCCGGGATCTGCCGTCGAACCATCTGCTACCTTCGGTGTTGCGAAGATTCCTGCTTTGCCTGACTGACATAAAATGGCAGCAACTTTGGATGCATACAGCCTAACGTGCGTCTGGAAGCTGATGGCATCACAGGGTTCCGCAGGTTGAGTGGCATTTCGCCAACTGCGTCCCCCAGGGCGAGAGACGACGCTACGTGCTGGATCGATTGTAAAATGCCTCCAAATGGTTTTGAGTGGCGCATCACAGAGATCACTCCACAGTTCATCGGTTGTCTCACTTTTCCAAGCTGTGAAAGCTAAGACAGTGGTTGCCTCAGTCGGAATATCGGTCTGATCTGACCCTGATATGGTGACTTTCGCTGCTCCAAGGGGGAGTACACAAGTGGCAAGGATAATCTTATTGGCTTGCGAGTCGCTTGCTGGCAGATTATGTGGCTGACATGTGCCATTTTTCAATCGGCCACTACCAGTTAACCTGGAGATGCTCTCATTCGGAGTCGGACTCTGCCGCTTTCCGCTTCCGCGCGATCTTGTCTAGCTTTCGATCCGCGGAAGCCAAGACTGACAGTAGGCTTACCAGGTTCTGGGCTCCCTCAGGAGTTGAAGTATCGATGCTCAGTGCCGCTCCGATTCGCTCCATTCGGCGAGCCACTGTGCCAGCATAAGCGGTCTCTTCTTTCGACGCTGCATTGGCCTGCTGATTTTTGAGGGCTTGCATCGCCCCAGATGGATCCTGGTAAATTGCTTGCATTGTCACGTCTGAGACGAACACGTCCATTTTCTTTTTGGTGTCGTCCAGCCTCTTCAGTCTGCTCCTCGTTCCTTGGTGTGGATTTATGTTGTTGAACACCACGGAGTCCGACAAAGCCTTGCTTTGTCCAGATACTGCGTCGACGGCCATAATGGCAGCGGCCACCTGGTCCAGGAGCTCAGGCGTCACCGGGGGAATTGCCATAGGCTGGCCTGTCAGAAGACGGGGGAGCTCCGAGTAATATAGCGGCGAATTCTGTACCTTCACGATCCCGGGAAGGGCTGCCTGTAGCATGTTGCTATCAAGCGGAGCCATGTACCCGCCCTGCGCTGCCCTGAAAAGGCCATCTGCAATCAGCGTGACCTTCTTGATGTACCTGAGGTTCGACTGAACCTCCACCTTCAGGAGTGGTGTACTCGCCATGAAGCCAAAACTGCCATCAGGACCGAAGCTGCAAGGCCTCTCCAGCTTGGCAACCAGCTTGATCAGTCTGGGCTCTAGGATGTCGCTCATTGAGATATCCACAAAGATCTTGCTTGCTGGCCTTCTCACAAAGTAGCCAGTCTCTGGCAAGCCGGCCATCACCAAGCAGTCAGAGAGAGTCTCCACCCTTCCACTGAAGTCATCAGTACACATGAAGTACTCCTCGTGAGGCAGATGTCCCATCTGGACTTTTGCCGAGCAGGCGAAAATCTCAAATAGAATCGCGCGTGCTCTTTCTTTGTCAAACGTTGGACTCCCGGTGACCAGATTTGCAATGTAGCCTCTGGCTTCTCCAGATGTCACGTCCATCTGATTCAGAAATCTTGCTCCGTCAGCAATTGTGGTGGCAGAATCGCGGCCAGTCTGAAAGGATCGCTTGCCCTTCCCCCGGCTCTTCCCTTTCGCAACCAGTGCACCAGTGGGCGACAGGATCTGGTCAGTCCCCAGTCCTGAAAGCATGCTCAAGGCACAAAACATACATGCACCATGTGATTCTCCGAGCTTGTTGATAATGCTGTTCATGATCTTCTCGAACCCCTCTGTCACCTCAATGAACTCTGGATCTTTCTTCAGCTTGTCCTCTGCAGCCTTTTTCTTGTCTTCATTCCTACCTTCTTGGAGGTCATTGACTTCCTCCACAGTGAGTCCGGACCTCGTATAGGTGCTGAGGAAATGCTCTTTCGAGGTGTCACCTCCGATGAGAGCTGAGGTCATATACTTTTTCAGCATTTTCCGCAACTCCTCTGGTTGACCTACCGACATCACTTGCGCTCCGATGTCTGCGCTTCCAGTCCTTCACCTCTTGGTGGGTACTACTGGGTGGGCTACCCCCACCAGGGATTTTTTTGGGGGGGCAACCCGGTGCCATGGCCTAGAACAACGTGGTGCAACACCACCTTCAGCATCCACACACCCTGGACGGCAAACCCAAAACACAGTTGTCCAAGGGTCAGCCACTCAAGTGCTTTTCAAAGTTCAGGAGAAAACAAAGTTAAATATGGTGTGAAATTTGAAATATTATATAAACTTATCTTTACCTCGTCGTGTCCGTCGCACCTCGTCTCGTTATACACAGTGTGGAAATATTGCCGCGCGCAGGAAAAAACTGAGGAACTTAGCTTGGAGGTGGGAAAAGGTCGGTGCTCGCCTGGCCTTTAGCGACCTCCTCAGGCCGGGAATGTGAGGCATGATTATTAGAATACCTGAAGCATCCTTTGTAGCACTTATTTCTGGCGAACCATGGTTTGGAGCACTTATTGGAAGTTTGAGCGTTAATTGAGGGTATGTACACTTTTCAGGACATATGAGCGCTTTTTGGTGATGTAAATTCTAAAGCCTACTGGTTCCTGACCAGTGTCCTTATCAACCCTTGTGGGCCTTTGGGGGCCATATGGACCGGGTGGAAATCCTATATGACCTCCTACTAGTAGTATGTGCAAATGAAACCACAAAGGTTTGGTTCCAACCTTCTGGGCGTGCTTTACAACAATTTTTCCAAAAAGGGTGCCCGCAACTTGGGCGCAAATTCCCGCAACCCGGGCGCAAATTCCCACAACCCGGGCGCAATTTTAAAAAGTGGCGGATTGTTATTTTACTTACTGTAAATATTTTATGTTGATACTGATGATCAAAGAAAGGGGTTGCTGGCTGCCGCTTCGTAGTGTGTGAGCGTGTGTTGTGTGTGCATGGGATGGGTGCCAGCATGTGGCAGGGGAATGGACTTGAAGACCACATAAGGTGGAATGAAGCTACATCTGACTTTCCAGTGGTACGCTTTTTCAAGGCATGAACACTTTTTTTGATGATGTGCAGTTTTTTTTCTGTCACTTTTTTCTGCTACGACGGAGGGTTCAGGTAGGCCTGTTGTTATACCCAAGAATGCATGGTGACTTTTGTTGCCAGGAGCAGCGCCTCCCGCAAGAACGCCGCTTGGCCGCTGGTTGCGGGCTCCACGCACGTTTCCGAGCAGGCTACAACGTGCAGGCAGCGAGGCAAGGCAATTAGCTGATGGACATCGTGGCTGCAAACGCGTCGTTGTGTTTCACATGCAGCTACATGTCCGCCGGCGGCTTCGCGCAGCAAAGGTGAAGGTTCGCGCACCGGACATGTTACATTGAACATTTAAAATTTCAGTGAAACGCGTATTGTTTTGTGGAATCCAGTGATCCAGTGTTCAAATCTAGAAATTTGAATTGAAATTGTTCCAATCGCCTGGGAGGCATCCCCTAGATGGAGGCAGCCGAATTTGCGGGCCGTCATTGCATTTATGAATTGAACCTGGCCCATATTTTTGTTAAAATTCTGCAAAGCCTTGATCTTTGAAACCTCCTTTTGGTTGCTTCGGCTGTTCGTGCTGTTGTTATTGTTCTGTGAAAGGTTTTTTTCACCGAATTGGAATGCACATCTGCGTTTTTGAATGACATTTTATGTTTGTCCGTTTCGGCTGGTTGTGGTGCTGCGTTTGTTTTTTGAAAGGCCTTTTCGCAGCCTTGGGCGGCAAAACTGTGATGTTACATTTTTCTGTTAAACTTGGCCCGTCGCTCATTTCTTATAAATTCTTGCAACCCAAGGAACAGAACAACTCAAAACCAACAGCAGCAAGATTTTTGCCAATCGAAAAACAAAAGCAGAAGCACGACCAGCCGAAAATTGCCAAACTTTTGCATTGAAAGCAAGAATCTCGGCGCAGAAAAAGGGAGGGCTATCAAGAAAAATAAATTGTCATCAAGAAGAAACCTTAAATCATCAAACACAAATTTAGACCATCAAAAAATAATTAAGCGATGCAGAGGAAGGAAGGAAGGAAGGAAGGAAGGAAGGAAGGAAGGAGGGAAGGAGCGCAGGAGGGAAGGAGCGGAGTGGGGAAGGAGCGGAGTGGGGGTACCACTGGACCTGGACCAGCTGATCTTTAGTTAAAACACGTTAAAACCAACGAAGAGCAGTTACAACATAGAGACAAGACGGAAAACTGTTGGAATATGACTGATGAAAAACTAAACCATTGCGACTAAGTAAGACTGCTTTTGTTGCTTTTCTGATTTTTGTGTTTTCGTGTTTCTGATCTTTGCTTTTGTTTCTTTTCTGCTTTGGCAGCTGTTCTCCTTTCTCTTTTT